CTGAAAAGTTGATGCAACATTGAAATGGCCAGATAAAGGATCTGAGTACATACTGAATAGAACTGCTTCTGTTTTTTGGGGCTTGAGAACTCGTTGGAGTCTTAAAGGGTTCCTCTGGTTTCTCTTATATAATAACCCTTCTTGAACTAGATAATGCTGGGTTCGGTATTTTAATTGTTTCTTGTTGTAGTTTAATGGTATCACAGCATCATTAAGATACCTCAGGAATAAATAATAAATATCTAAGTCCATTATTTATAGTTTTTTTTTTTTTTTTTTTTTTTTTTTTTTAGGTCTTCTCTTATTTACGAGTTTTGGGTCTCGCCTATATACGAGATAGAAAGTCAGCGTTCAGATGTCTTTTTCTGGATTTATGTATTGTTTTAAAAGAGTATTCCTGTAACGTTAAAATCTAACACGCAAGCCTATTTTGGAGCAGCTTATGAGAGAACAAGAACTTCAAAACAGAATGGTCTGTGTATAAGATAAAAGAGGCACCATGCAAATATTATCGAAAATAAGATGTGGCCCACATGACTGCCAGGCACTCTTTTTCAGTTACTGGATAGTTCTTTTTAGCAGGAGATAAGCTACGACTGGCGTAAGAAATAACTCATTCCTTGCCCTCAGAATCAAGTTGTAAAAGAACTGCACTTAAGGCTTGGTCGAATGCATCAGTGAATAGTATGAACTGTTTGGTATCATCAGAGTAGGCTAATATGGGAGTGATGTAAGTTTTAACTTTAATTTTTGAAAGGACTCTTCTTGTTCGGGACATCACTTATAATATTTATTTTTTTTTAATAATAGGTTTAGTAGTGCGGCTATATCGGTGAATCCTGGTACAAATTTTCTAAAATAGGATACAAGTCCCAGGAACCCTCGTAGTTGTCTCACGTTACGGGGTGTCAGAAAATCTTGGACGGCCTTTATCTTTTGCAGGTCAGTTAAGATTCCTTTGGCGTTTACTATATACTCCAAGAATTTTAATTGGCGCTTCCCAAAGAAGCATTTCTGGGGTTTTAGTTTAAGGCTTGCTTCTTGTAACCAGGTAAAAACTTCTTGGAGATGGAGAAAATGTTCGTCGAAGTCTTTGGAAAAAATGTTAATATTGTCGAGATATATGACGACAAATTTTCCTATAATATCCTAGAAAATTTCGTCTATTAACCTTTGGAAGGTGGCGGGAGTATTGGCTAACTCAAAAGGCATCATATTGAATTTATATATCCTTTTGGGTGTTATGAAAGCCATCTTTTCTTTATCTTGCTCAGCTATTTCGACCTGCTAGTATCCACTAGCGAGGCCTAGGGAAGTATACCATGATGATCTTTTTAAGATGTTCAGAAGATCATCAATCCTTAGAAGGGGGTAATTATCTTTCTTAGTTACGGCGTTAAGCTTCTGGTAGTCTATACAGATGCAGGTCTTTCTTTCTCCTTGTTTCACTAAGACTACTGGAGAAGACTAGGGGCTATAAGAGACTCGGATTATCCCTTCATCTTTCATTATCTTTAATTCGTTTTTAAGAAACTCTTTTTCTTTTATTGAATGCTAGTACGGCCTTTGTTTAATTAGTAGAGTGTCCACAGTGATTATCTGGTGACAACACTTATTAGTACGTCCAAGTTCAGAGATATCTTTGGCGAAAAGGTTTAGTTTTTCTTTATGATTAATTTTAATTTTTCTTCTTTATCTTTAGGGAGCGCCTCGATGTTATACATTACAACTAGGTCTTCTTTCTCACTGAAATGAAAGTCAAAGAGGTTAGCGATTTCTTCAGACTTGTCTTCATTTATCTTTCTCAGAGTTAAGTCTAGAAATTCATCTATTCGTCTTTCTTCGTCCTATTCGTTATTTAGTGTTTCCATGTCTAATAGCCACGAACTTTCCATAGGCCAGGGATTTAGGGGTGTTAATAAGGTAAGTTCTTTCTCATAATTATATCTTTCTTCTTGGTTCTACCCATAGTTTATTTCTTCTATGTAGTTGTTATCGCTGTTTAGGTCCTACTAGGCTTCCCCTGCTCCTAGGTTATTTTCATTCGGATTTCTATAATACACATCATCGTCTTCAGAACTTTCATCTTGTTCTAATTTGGATAGTCCATAAATTCTATCCTCTAACTCCTCATCTTCAAATTTGTCTTCATTTTCTTCTCCTTCTGTTTCTATATCTTCTTCTTCACTAATCTCTAATTCTTTCTCACTTATTTTTGTAG